ATATTATAAAAAAATAATACTTATCAGCTTTACCTCCTAAAGATTAAGAGAAAGATCATCTTAAAATTACGTCGTTTTAATAAATTTTTATTGAAAAAGATTAAATTACCATATTTTTAAAACATGCATTAAGGTTATTTTTATCCTTTTTCCTCTTAATTTTTTGGAGGTAAGGCAAGCAAACACTAATCATGTATTATAATATGAAAAAAGTGCCTGTCAGCCTTATCTTCTAAAGATTATGAAGAAAATAATCCCAAAATTACATCATTTTAATAAATTTTTATTGAAAAAAACTAAACTATCTTATATTTAAAGTATGCACTAAGGTAATTTTTGTTTTTTTTTTCTTAATTTTTTTGAGGTAAGGCGGATAAATATTAATTTTTTATAATATAATATATTATTATATAATTAATTTTTTATTTAAATATTTTTTTAATAATATTAAATATATGTATTTATTTAATATTATATTATATTATATTATATATATTTTTTGAAACAGAGGAAATTTGTCAAGAAAAATGAGTAAGGTGATAGATTTGAATCTAAGTCATTATGTCTGCCACACTCATTTAAGGGTGTCCATTAGGCCACAAGAATTAGATATTATATTATATCTTATTAAATATTACCCAAATTTAAAATCTTATAATCTTGCCGCACTTGCATCTAGTGATCCAATAGCTTTAAACTTACTTGAAAAGTGCGTTCGGACTGAGGTTGGAACCCCACCCCACAATGTACACCGTTTCGAGAAAAAAAAAAAAAAAAACTTATAATCTTACCAACCATTGGAATTAAAACATTACGTTCCCAATTTCTCATTCCTTTTTTTTCATTTTTTGTAAATCCAAATGGTACTTAATTAATCCATTCAATGTATTTTCCGTTTCCTCTCATACGGGAAAAGAAAACCTCTGATTTCTAGGTCCGTAACTTCATAATATTTTTTAGTTTCAACTCCAGAATTTTAAGTTAGAATCTCAGGTTTTCAAGAGCACTTGAGACACTCGGGTTTACGTTCAGAATCAAAGAAGTTAATCCTGTACCGTACGAGTCGGTATGGTCGGTACATACTGGTTTTGATATTTGACCGAAACGGTACAACATCAAATTTTATTTCAGTCAAAATTCAACCGTTTCGGTCAAAATCCAACCGTTTCAGTCAAAATCTGGTGCACCGGCCGAAATTTTGTGTACTGGCCGGCACACTGAAATATGACCGATACACTTAAGTTCAAACTAAAAAAAAAAAAACAATGGATTTCCGATTGCAGATCTGTTTCTGTTCTCCTTCTTCATCACGAACGACGAACGCCACACGCCGCACGCCGCGAACGTCTTCCTCAACCTATCGCCGGTGGGCTAGAGATTCAGTGAATGCTTCACTTCCGTGATTACTGGCTAGATCTGCTTCATCTTCTCCCCATTTCTGGTAGCTGCCGAACCCTTATGCTTTGGTGATTACCGGTGATGAAGGTGGAGGCTGTGATGATGATGAGATGCTCAGCAAGGGGATGGTGAAGATCCGAGGTGAAAGAACGAAGGTGATGGTGGCGATGGTGGATCTGCAAAAGGGAGAAAAATCAAGTTTTTTTTTCTGTTTTCTCTTTTTTTTTTTTTATCTTTTTGGTTTGGCAGCCGCACCTCCTCCTTCTCCCTTTAAAAGGAGGAAACTAGGGTTTTCTTAAATTTGGGTTTTGATGGGGTGGGCTTATGGGTTTATTTTAATAAATCTCATCCTCAGCTTTTTAATTTTTTTAATTGAGTCCTTTTCTTGTTTTTTTTCTTCAACTTCTCCCCAAAATTTTTCATAAAATTTTTTTATAACGATAAATCTGAAACGGTACGTAAAAAATTTTGATATCTGGTACTACCGTTTCAATAATAAAATCGATACGTATACCGATACGGTATTAACTACTTTGTTGAGAATGCCTTGTCTTGTGATGGTCTGATCGTGAAGTACGACAAGGAAAGTCCCAGTACCGATCCGCGAGCGCCACATCATCTGGTTCGGCTGGCAGCTCGTCCTCGTCCTTCCGTCGCAGTCTACGTCGTTGCTCTCCTCCTCCTCCATTTTTCAGGCCGATATCGCCTCTCCGAACTCCTTATCTAGCGCGAGGACGAGATCTCGGGTTTCCTTAAATAGCTACGATGGGTATCCCAAGATCGACTTCCTCTTCCTCGCCCGTCGGGAGCTACCTCTTGATTTTCCCTGGAGCACCTTCTTTGAGGTCTGTTTCTCTGTTTTTCAAATTTGTGTGCGGTTCTCTGCAAAAAAGGAAAGGAATTTCTGCAGTTTCTTGGTAAAGCTATATGAATTTCAGGATCTGAAGTTGTTCGGTTTTTGCAGAATGCTGATGCTGGTAATTTCTCTATTATATACACCCTCCGAGCCTGGGTTTGTCTTTGATTAATTGAATTCGGGCTCGCAATTCTTTTATGGTCGCCAATTGAGTAATAGCATTAAAGTGATCAATGTTCGGCTTTGTATTTTGAGTTTCAGATAGTGGAAAGAAGGGAATTATGGTTTCGAGTGTTAAGTTTTTGTTGGTAGTGAAAGCAGGGAACTTTTTAAGATTCAGAGTTGTGATTTTTCTTCTATTGTTGGTTGGTGGATGGAAACTGAAAGGATGAATTAGAAACTTGTTAAGTTCAATGGCATATCTGATTTTGAGTTCGTACATGGTCTCTTATTGCAGGTGAGATGGGGAGAATCAAGCATGATAGAAGTGGAGAGATTGTTGCTTGCAGTTGCTCTAGAAGACCCAGCGAATCAAAGATTTGTCCTGCTTTCTGACAGATTTCCAAAGCTTGGACAAGGATTAGTATTGTAATTGACGAAATTTTCGTATTCCTTGGATCAAGAACATTTTCTTTGAGTTCATGTTAATCCAGGTTTTTTTTTTCTGTATTGCAGTTGTGTTCCCCTTTACAATTTTGGTTATATATACAAGTATCTGATGGCTTCTCCAAGGAGCTATATGGACAGGTAGAGGGCAGCCTGCTTGATTCTTGAGGTGCCTATAATTGATTCTTTACAAATGGTTCCATGATAAATGAAATGATAGTGTTCTATCTGTTTTAAGCCTTTTCTGGTTCCTACCGAAGAAATCACTTCATTTTGTAGCTTTCTTAATGTAAAGGATGGTAGATACAGCTCAAAGATGTCATCTATCATTCCAAAAGACAAGTGGCAAAAAGAATCTCAGGTTATCCATTTTCTGTTATAGATAACATTAAATTAATGTAGAGATGGTTGAGTGTTGGGGGAACTGGATTTTTTAATGAGCTGCTTTAGATTCTTCAACTGGATTTAAAAAGTAATGGGAATTGATTATTTCCATCTTTGCCTCTCTTTCCTTCTAAAAATAGCTGAAGATAGAGATGTCCCCTTGTCTCTTTTTCATGAGTTTTATATGTCTTTTTTACTACTACGATGTAAAAAATTAAGCTTTGGTTTTAACTTGTTTACATTTGTAGTGGATCTCCTTGGTAGGAAGCCATGCTGAAGTTGTTATAAATGATGAGATTATTTTTCCAGTTTTTAAGAAATTATGCAAGGGACACAAGCCGTTCTATGTCTTTGGTTTCACTAAATATTAGATGCTCATTTCTCTCGATTTTCATTTCTGAAGGATTATGGAACTGGCTGGTTTTTGTATTGACTATATCTCATTAACATGCTATTGTAGTGAAATTAAACCAATCCAGATTGTAGTATGCAATCTATAAGATTACTTTGTTTTCTCCGATTGGTTTGTTATTGCTCACTTCCGTATTATGGAATCCAAACCCATATTCATCACCAGATTCATCACCAGGCGCAGATGGTCTAAAACTGTTCTGCAATTGAACTTTATCACCTATTATGTCAAGGAGAAGGACCATCCAAATTGGTTGAAAAAATTGGCAACTTATGTGAATTCGGTGAGGAGTTTGTGAGAAACAATAAAAGGAATTCAATGTCTTTCCTTTCAAAATTTTAGAGAAGGCCTACACTGGGGCTTCATTTTTGCGGAAGTGATAAGCATGAAATTTCAAAATACTGCACCGGGAAATCAAAGGTAGCTTGCTTTCAAAGAAGCAAACAAATTCTTCAAAACAGTTTAATTTATGAGCATCTCAGACATTACGTTGAATGAACAAGAGGAGGGGGATTACACACAATTCCTTTTAACATGGCATATAGCCACCAAGTAATGCCTCCAAGGGGAAGATGACCAGAGGTCTTCATCTAGGAGTAATAATGGTCACAGAGCAATATGCAAGCTACTTTCAGATTATATGTTTTACATTCTGATGATGGAACCTCCTACGGTGGCTACTGTGGTGAAAATTTTGAAAAAGATATTTAACGACAAATATGCGGATGCCGAGTTTTATGTAGGCCGAAGTTTAGTCTCAAATGAAAAGGACGCCAGCAGAGATAATCCTTTCAATTGTGTTTGATATGACTAAGAGAGAGGACAGAAGCGGATCTGTTTTATTTGGAGCACGTGAGCTTGCCAGCCATCTCAAGCAGTCTGACGGTACTTATCCCTGGGAGATAATGAGCCATGTCTGGGCAATAATAATATGTCATGCTGCGATTAATTGTAGGACAAATGTGCATGCCCAACAACCAAGTAAGGGTGGAGAACTAGTCACCTTCATCTGACTGTGTATGACTAATTGCGGCATCGACGTATTGTACTTGGCAAGGAATGTTCCACCTCAGGCAGACAGAGATGTTTCAATTTCAGTGTCGGATCCATAAAATATTCTTTATCTGTAGACGTTGGTCCGGTGTTCTCTGGACCATCCATGTATTTACAGTGTGTTTTTGTTAATGAGTGGTAAGTTACCAGGGTTGTCCTAGTCTTTTGGCATCTGTTAATTTGTTGCCTAAAGTGTCTTGTTTGTGGGATAGTGGTTGTCCCATCACTCATAAGTAAGCTGTGTGGTTGCTATTTTATTGCTTACTGCTGTTGGAGTCTTGCCTATTTGAAGGCTGTATATTTGTTTGATGAATAGGAGCACTGCGGAAACTTTATTTTCCTCTTCCGGTTTCATTTGTGGCATCCTGTGTGTTCCTTTAATTCTACTGTTCTTTTTCTCTTCCTTCATTGTGCATCTCAACTATTGGTTTAAAAGTCTTAAGTGAGTCTCATGTTTCCTCTGTTTCAACACACGTTGCATTACCCAGCATTGTATAGGGAGTAGGAACAAATTTATAATGGAATAGAGAAATGTTGCAAAGTCACTCATTAAATCCTCTTTATCCGCGGTGGCCACTGTTATACCGTGCCAAGTTTTTCTCACTCCAATCTCACAAATTCAGAAGGATTATTGCAAATATGGATGGATGCTGCACTATCCATCACCTACCTTGAGTTGTTTTCGTCTTCCTTTGAATCACCTTCCATGATAGCATACACTTCCTGGTCTAAATCTTGAACTCTGTTTATTTCTTCTCTCTGGCCCTTGTTTCCTTGATCTTTCATAAGCATCTTCACGTTAGAAAGATCCTCTTTGAACATTGGACATCTAACATGGGTTTAACCCATCTCTCCTTGTTCACACCCCTGCTCAGCAAGATTCTTTTGCAACAGTTGGCAGTCGGTATAATTTTTCAATACAAACAGCTAGGGTCGGCGGAATTGTCCACAATTGAAAAATTAACTGAATACGATTAAAACTATAAATCATAGGTCAGGTTTAATTGGTTTTTTAATCATTTGAGTAAAAATTATTTTTTTATACAAATTGTATTTTGAATTTTTTAGTTAAATTTAATAAATAGTTTAATATCTATATACTTTATATTAGTTTAGCCTAGAAATAAAAGTTTATTTTAAAGTGATTTATAAACTATAATTAAATTCTATATCAAATGGTCTGTTTTGACAAATATCAGTTAACTAAACTAATGGAGTTCTTTGGAACTGTTGACATGATGCCACTTAATTCACCACTTGTATGCCATGTGACCTAGACCAGACAGAGGGAGCTGGTGTAGATAAGTTGCCCCATAAGCATTTAAAAAATATAAATATAGTACATATATTTTTGTTTTTAAAGTTTAAATTCTTTGTCAAATGTAGTAATTAATTAAGATAATAATTTCAATTTACATTAATTAAAATTCTAATTTTAATTTACAATAATCAATATTATAATTTAAATTTTATTATTTCTAAAAATACTTAATTCATTATTAAATAATATTTTTAACAAGTAAACCCTTCCAAAATTCAATTTAATTAAATAAGCACTCAGTACATAATTAAAATCACCAAAAAAAATTGATTTCAATTTTATAAATCCCCAAATTAAAATTATGCATGTATTATTATTGCCAAAAATAAAATTAAAACTTTTTATTTTTCCACACAAATTAATGAAAAAAATATAATTTAATAATGACATTAAGTTTTTTAAGAAATAATAAAATTTAAATTATAATATTGATTATTGAAAATTAAAACTAGAATCTTGATCAATGTAAATTGAAATTATTATCTTAATTAATTATTACATTTGACATAAAATTTAAATTTCAAAAATAAAATATTGTAAAAAAACAAAAATATATATATTATATTTAAAATTTTCCTAAAGTTTTAAGGGGCAACTTGTCTACGTTCTCTCCGTCTATATTTTTGGGCCACCGTAGCATGCAAGTGGCAAATTAGGTGGCACCATGTGTGCAGCTGGAAAGAATTCTATTAGTCTAGTTAATAGATGTTGGTAAAATAGGCCATTTTGATACCAAATTGATAGTTTATAAACCACTTTGAGAGAAAAAATTGTTTTTAAGCTAAATTGATATAGGTTGTATAGTTAATAGATTATTTATTAAATTTAACCAATTTTTCCTGTTGTACTGTTTTTTAGTATAATATTTTTTATTTTTTTTATAATATCAATTATATTAAATATTCTTTTCTTATTTTATTTTTATTTTACAACCGCAATATAATTTAGACTCCATTTAATATAATTTTGATTTTAAATTTTAAAAATGATTTTAAATTTTAAACTTTTATTCTTTATATATTTTATAACTAGTAGTATATTGAGTAGAAACAACTTAATTAAGCTTACATCCCATAGTTGCCTCATTGGTATGATTGTGCTGCTAGTTTTACTTCAAACATAATGCTTCCTTTCCCTGCAAGTGATTGATATTCTTGTCCATATTGTGCAGAAACTTCGAAAGCAGCACAACTGTATCCCAGATGAAAATTACGTGCAGACACATTGTTTGCAGTAAGTGAAGGAATAAGGATCAATGGTCAATCTCTCCCCTAATTTTTTTTTTTTTCTGTATTTTGCATCCGTGTCAGTGTCGTTCTTCTTGGGTTGATTTTGTTGTGTGATGATATTTAGTGGCTGAGACCATGAAATCTAATTTATCTACCTTTTCTGGTTTCTTTTTTTTTCTTGTTAGATGAGGCAACTTGAGAGAAGAACACTGACCTATACTTTTTTCTTTCTTTATTGGCCAATCAATTCATTTTCAATATTGTTCACCATACCCAAAATTACACTCATTTTTATATAATAATCTTTCCATTATTGTGTACATGAAGATGAGGCTATGAAATGATATTAATATTAGAAATGCACCATTGAAGTTTGGGTTTCTACTATAAAAATTTTAGTTATAAAAATTTTAGAAGAACTAAAATTGTTTAATATTGAGAATATTTGTAGGAAAACTTTAAAGTTGTACATGTTAAAATTGAGTTATATATATTTTTTAAGAGCTTATTGAGTTTAGACCTATACTAATAATTTTCACAACATATTTTAAACTCACAAAAATGATCACAATAATTAAATTTCATGCATATGTTTAGAACTTTTGAACTAGTAAAATCAACCTATTTATGTTTTTGATGGGAAATAGAGAAACATATTAAATAATAAAAAATTATAGCAAAATCTCTATCTCATGGCATATAGACAAAATCAAAAGCAGAATCTACAACAATATAGTAACAGATTTAAACTATACTCATAACGGATATAGACAATTAAGCAAAGAAAGTCATCTACAATTAGAGATTAAATTTACAATTATTGTATGGGTTAAATAGGGTTACTAATGTAAAATGAGGAGTTACTATGAGTATTAAGAACTACTAGACATTATCACTTATTTAACCAGTTTTCTGGGGAAAGTAAGGGATTTTAACAACAAACAATCTCCAACCCACAAGTTGCCGCCCTTCTTGTTCTTAATTTTAATTATCCTATTTTTCAATTTAACTTGTTTAAATTTAATTATTTATTTTTTAATTTTAAGATACCACTTAATACATTTATTTTTTTACTTTATTTTAATAATATAATTACAAAATAAATTATCATATATACATTTATTTAAATAATTATTAATTAAAAATAAAAATAAAATTTAATTAATTAATTATTATATTTCTATTTTAAAAATATATAAGCTTACTAAAGTTGAA